TTTAAGGATTGACGTTTACCCAGTAAATAAGTAGTGGTCATGAGGTCTCCCTTATGATCCAATGTCAATTTGTATTGGGAATATGATCTATATGGTAGTATTTTTGGTGGGTGGTAGGAGAGGCAGAAGAAGAGACTGGTCAGGACACGGGAGGTTAAAGTTAGAGGTGCTAGTTTTTACAAAGCAGAAAATCGTGGTGTGTGTTGTTTGCTGTAGTATTTTGTTAAATACTAGGATGTTAATTTAAAATGCTATATATTTTGAGCATCAGCAGTTTTGGATACTATGATTACTATTTTTAATAATTCCAACAATAGTTAAGGGAAGGCTTGTTCATGCTTTACAAATGTATCTGATTTCTTTTAATTTCTTATGTAGTACTCAAAGCAACCTTGAGTTGGGGTGGCATTATCGGTCCCACACGGTGCTTGATTCTAATTTGGGATTCTGATGAGATCTCTGTAAAGCTCTGTTGCTGCAGGGCTGCTTTTTGGTTCATCTTTGTTTGTCCCCCCCCCCCCCCACCCCCCCGAAATACTGTTTCTTGAGCATCTCGAATGAGCAGGCTAGGGTGTACACACACAGGTTCTCACCCTCAGTGGTGCTCGCTTCTATTATGGATTGAAAGCCTTACAATTAAAGAAATTGCTCATATGAGACAATTTATGGTAAATCTAAGGTTAGTTATACATAAAGAAGAAATATGTTAGGATACTTACTCATTTAGAGAAAGGGAAATTAACTATTAGCTATGGTGTTCAGAAACTCATAAAGAAACTTTTGCAAGATTCATTAGTATTCAAATTGATAGAAATGTCTTACATGTGAGATTTAGTAAATGAAAGATGTCTAGTTAAGGAAAGTTATGATGTGTGGACACGAAGTGGGTAAGTTAGGTCACTATCGAGGTAGGATTTTCACTGGGAAGAGGCCTGAAAGGTAGATTAAGGCCAGCTTTTTGAATCCCTAACTAAGGAGTCTGGATTTACCCTATAGGCAGAGGGTAATCCATAATTTGGTGAGGGTGGAGGGGTTTTAGATAGACTTCAGAAAAAGTTTTTTTTCTGCATTACACGCTTTAATTAGTGTAGTGAACCTGTGTGGCTGAATTGGAGTCAGAAGAGATTAGAGGTGTGAGGTATAAGACTGGGTCAGTGATGGATGCGCAGGAAAAGGTGGATTGGTTGTAAGGACACAGTATGAAGGGAATCATGTGTATATTTGAGATCGTCTCATGTTAAAGCATAGAATACTGTATAAATGTGGTTGGATGATTTGCGTTTTCCTCCTTACTATGAGCTAAATCAGAAGTACACGTAAGCCATTAAACCTATGTCATCAATCACCACATGTGGTTTTTGAAATACACAGGGTCACAAATGGTTTGTGCTCAGGCATGTGCTGGTACACACACATATACACAATGCTCATGGTGTGTATTTTATATCAGTGTATAAAACACAGCCCTTCAACCAAATTTATTGCCCTTTAAAGCAAGCCTGTGGTTTTTGAGAGTGTGAGAGATATAGAACCTTAATTAGAAAGAAAGAGTTTGCTTGAAATAGGGTCTTTTTTTCCCTTTTCTGTCATGATTTTATTGCCGCACATAGATCTATATCCTCCGATCTCTGCTTAATTTATTTTTAATTTTCTTCTGCTTTTACAGGCCCAGGCTGCAAGCACAAAGGAAGTTTGCTCAATCTCAGCCGAACAGTCCCAGCACAACTCCAGTAAAGATAGTGGAGCCATTGCTACCCCCTCCAGCTACTCAAATTTCTGACCTCTCTAAAAGGAAGCCTAAGACAGAAGATTTTCTTACTTTTCTCTGCCTTCGAGGTAAGACTGTGTTGCCCATCAGTTTGGAAGGAACAGCCTATTTGAAAGGAAAAGGAGTAACATTGCACATAGGGATAGATGTTAGCTTAGGTGTCTGTGTGTCCAGCCTGGTTTGAGGGAGAGTTTCAAGTGAGAAATCCCCCTGAGAGGGTACTTGAGTCTTCATACTTCTACTTCTATTTTCATTTGACTCTTCAATCTCCTTTCTTGGCTTCTCAACTCACAATTTCACGGTTTCTAGTTTCTAGTTTTAATTTTTATAATTTGACTTTTTCCTGTCACCCTTCTAAGACCCCTACCACCTCTCCCATCGCCATGACACACATGCCCTGCTGACTTGTTTATTGGGTTTTTTTTTTTTGGCAGAGGAGTTGTGGATGAGTATGAAGTTTCGTTTGCTTGCCTTTCCTAAGTGTCCTAAGTGTCGAGAAGCCACTCTGACGGAGGGGCCTCTTTCTCCCAGCCCTATATTATGTAGGAAAAAGAGTTGTTGTTCTTTCCAAGTGTAGTTAACAGTGAAAATATTGGTCCATATATGTGACCAGGACCAATAGTGCAAGGTGAGGTAAAATTTTGTAATAGAGTATGGGTTTGGATTTACATGGCCTTATTTGGGAAAGTATTTACTACAGGAACTAAGTTTTCTAACAGTTGTGAAGGAAGAACACAAAAGTTTGTCAAAGAAATTGAAGAGCTTGTGGCAATGGTAAATGGAGAGGAGTGTTAGAATGCATGAACCTGGAGAGTTCCTTTGCTGAGGTTGGTTGAGGGAAGGTGAGCAGCAGGAGAGGGTCTTTGCTATTGGTCACTGCTTGGGTGCAGGGGGTGGGCTTGAGGTTCAGGGTTATGTACTTTAAGAAAAACAATTTTTTTTGAAGTAATTTACAGCATGATGTAAGTATGGTACAAAGAGTTTTTTTCCTAAACTATTCAAGAGATCATTTCCACCTGATGCCCCCTCACTCCTTAACGCAGTGTGTATCTTCTTTAAGGACATTCTCATAACCATCAAAAATAGGACATTTCAGTGATACTACAGTCTAATCCTCAACCCCCCATCTCAGATTGCTTCAAATGTCTTAGTGAGTTTAGAGCAGAAGGATCCCGTTCAGCCTTGGGTGTTATCTTTAGTTGTTGTCCGTTGTTGCTTATTCTGGAACAGTTTCTCAGTCTTTGTCTTTCTGACCTTAACACTTGAAGATAATGGCCAGTTATTTTGTAGAATGGCCCTCAATTTGGGTTGCCTGGTGTTTCCTCATGAGTAGATTCAGGTTTTGCATCTGGGGAAGAATATCACAGAATTCATTGTGTCTTGTTGGGTGGTACAAAATTTGTCCATCCTTTTCTTGATAGTGTTCCTATTGATCGCTCGATTAAGGTGGGTCTGTCGGTATTCTCCATTGTAAAGTTACCCTTTTCTGCCTTTGTAATTTATAACTATTTTGTTGGGAGGTTCTTTGAAACTCCATATTCCATTTCTCGTCAATCTCAATTTACCCATTTTTGGGGTATCTGTATGTTCTCATTTACTATTTTATTCAAAGGGTTATAATCTATTACTATCATTTATTTTGAAGTTTAGATCATCCCAGATTTTATCAGTGGAGCCCCTTCAGGGTAGCCTCTTTGTCGTTTTGACATGTCCCTGTCATCCTTCCAGCCATGCTTCCTGGCACAACATGTTCCAGGCTCATCTTGTACATTCCCTCCCTCAGCCCTGGAATCACCCAGTTCTCTAAGAACCCTTGTCTTTTTAAATGACAGCTACTACTTAGAAGCCACGATCTGGGCCTGAGATGTGCTCATATCTATTGGAATGTCATTTCTCCTAGGCACTCTATGACTGCATGTAGTGTGTGTGTGTGTGTGTGTGTGCACATGCGCATGTGCGTGCATGCATGCATACAAGGGCATATATGTGTATATGTACACATAGGCTCATTTAATATGTCTAGATGTATAGCCATGTGTATTAAAATCTGTAAATCAGCACCGGTACCTCCAAGTTCAGTATAACCCAAAGAATTCTTTCTGATTTTTCTTCCTTTCCACATTGAACACTGAGAAACCTGGCTCCTTTTGTCTGTAAGGTATCTGTTTATTTGATCTATCCTTTCAGGTGCAACCCACCTCTCATCTTTCAAAGGGAAGGGAGGCAATTCACAGAAAGAATGAAAAGAGTAAATGTTTGGTAAATAAATGTTTACTGAGTCATCCAGAAACAATGTGAACAAAGAACTTTTTTTTTTTTTCCTCCCCAAAGCCCCCCAGTGCATGGTTTTGTATATCCTAGTTGTGAGTTTTTCTGTGTGAGCTGCCACCACAGCATGGCAACAGACAGATGGTAGATGTGGTTCTGCAACCTAGAAACGAACCCAGGCTGCTGAAGCAGTGAGAGGGGCGAGCTTTAACCACTAGGCCATCAGGGCTGGCTCTGGGACACAGAACTTTGATCAAGCAAGTCTTGCTAGGTTCCTCCCTGTCTGCCACGCTACTTCATGTTATACTATAGTAATCTGTGGTGATATCTCCCTTCCTGAAACAGGTCCTCTGTCTGAATGTTTTTTTATGCACTTAGGGGAAAAGTAAAAGAAGAACTTCCTCATGACAAAGAGACACATTGCGGGGTGGCAAATTTTGTTCCCCTACGTAGGTGATTTGTATAGTACCTTCATGGTCCTGGAAATCTGATGATTTGGTGCATTAGTTGGCATATTTTAATATGTAATTGCATGAGGTAGTTAAAGTTAATACTTTGAAGCATACAAGAGTTAAATAAAAATTAATACTTTGAAGCATATGAGGGTTAAATCGATGATCCCTGTTGTAGTGGTACTTTAATCATTTTCTTTCAGTTTTAAATTAAGAAAAATAAGGTGTTTGGGCCACCCCAGTGGTGTAGTGGTTAAGTTCGCACGTTCTGCTTTGATGGCCCAGGGTTCGCTGCTTTGGATCCTGGGTTCGGACATGGCACTGCATAGCAAGCCATGCCATGGTAGGCATCCCACATATAAAGTAGGGCAAGATGGGCATGGATGTTAGCTCAGGGCCAGCCTTCCTCAGCAAAAAAGAGAGGAGGATTGGCAGCAGTTAGATCAGGGCTAATCTTCCTCAAGAAAAAAAGAAAAGAAAAGAAAAATAAGGTGTTAAACTTTTTTTTTTTTTTTTTACTCCTAAGAGTATTTCGTGTTCCTCTGGGGAACATGAGCAGAAAAGATGGAGAAGTAGGTAAAAGAGTGACCTCAGAATACCTTCCCTCCAATCTCCCAGAGACAACCACTGTTAACCAGCTCCTGGTGAAAATTAAGCCTTCTGCATGCATGTAGAATACATGTATCCTCCCCCCAGTGGAATTATAGTATATTTTATGTTTGCAGTCTGGTTTTCTTACTTCACTGTATCACATACATATCTATTTCATTTTGCAGATGTCTTATCATTTATCTGCTTAATACCTTATTGACATTTAGATGTATTCCTAACTTTTTGATATCAACTGCTTGATGACGCATAGCCTCACTGAAATCTTTGCCTTGTCTGAAGACTCTTCAAGTGGAGTTGACAGTTGGGAATCCGATTAACATTCTAATTCTGTGTCTTCTTTTCCGATGAGGATTCCAAACCAAATAGAGCTTATCAGAGCCCCAGACTTCATGTTCAGCATCAAGAGCCCAGTCACTCCATCACCCCTGGGTGACAGCAGTCACTGTTAGGGGTAAAGAGGACAGTCTTTAATAAGCTCATTATTTATAGGAAAGAAAGTCTGACTACAAAAACAGTCAAGATATCAAATCAAAAACTACAAGTGATGTTTGTTGCCAAGGATTACCGATCATTGTATTCTCCATTCCCCAATTATTACTTGTAATCGTCTCAGCAGTAATTTGTAATATGGAAGAGAATAAAGCTTGAGACTGAGGGAAAGACAGCGAATGGAGTTCTTGAAGCCTTCTTCTTTGTTGTCCCTTAATGACCCCCAGTGAGCCCCAGACCATGCTTTCTCCACATAACTCCATTTAAGTATCTTCAGTGGAAACCTTGGGTGAGCAATAAAAACTCTACGCCACTAATAATACTGGGATTAGTGTGTATGTGTAAACACACTAGCCAGTCATTCAGACATAAAAATCTTCAGAGATTTTAAAATCTGTTTCAAGGCACTCAGAGACCTTTCAGCTAAGTTTGACAAGGCTCTCTCCTTTCCTCTTTAATATCATGAGCTAAAATTTCTAAAGGAAAGGAGAATGGAATGAATAGTGGAGTCGGGCCTGAAGTGTTTGCCTGCAGTGTATTTATCTTTAAATAGCTGTGTTGAAGCAGGGTCCACATGTCTCCCACCAGAGGTATAATTAGGATTTCCCCAGGTACATGCGAGGAAGAGGGTACGTGTCGTGTGCTGCATGCAGCAATTCGTACTCTCGCTGTTTTTGCTGTCACCTCTCTCGTTATTCTTAATGAGTTCTGTCGTCTTCTCTTTGTTCTGACTCTGATTATTAACAGATTAAAAAAGCTTAACACAGCAGAGCAGTAGCAGGTTAAATGATTCTCGTATTTACATTTTTCTTTTTATGGGGCACTGCAAACAAGGGGGATTCCCAAAGGCGATTCCTGAAACATACACACACCTACACACAGCTTGTTTTTCTGACTGTGGTTCTTCTGACCGTGGATGTCAGAGTTCAGCCAGATAAAGAGCGCTTCTTGGGGAATTCCTAGTAAAGAAAGCACTGGCAGCCATTGTGAAGGATTGCTTTCTGTTTTGGGCCTGCCTGCCTTTTGTTTCCCAAGTCTTAGAGAATCTTCAGTGATCAGCTGTCATTCAACTGCTAATTAATTCAGCCAGCCAGCCTTTATTGAACGCTTTTTATATGCTAGACACCTAGAAGACAGAGATTAGAAACAGGAAAGTAGTATCAGTCTGGTAGGTGAAAGAGAGGATAACAGTAAACATGTGAAAATGCCAGGGTAGAGGTGCACAGCATGTACATGCAGGGAGGCAGGGGCACTCTGCCCAGGGCTGCCTGAGATGGCTCTGGAAGGGACAGGACGCTTGAGCTGGCTTCTAGAAACGGCGTGGGGCTTGGAAATTCTGCAGAAGCCCCCGCCAAGGCATGGATTCGTGTTGGGGTATGTTGATTGGATGGTCCCAGGTTAGAGGAAGGAAGTTAGATGTGTCGGATTCTGTGGTCCCTGAGCTAGACAGTAGGGCACTGTCGAGGTTCCTTAGCTGATAGGTGGGTTAATATGCCTAGACCTTTATTTAGGAGGATGATTCTGGCAGCAAAGGAAAATGGATTGAGGCTATAGGAAGGCCATCCTAGGGGTTATTGTAGGAACACAGGCAGGAGGCTGAAGGCTGAAGCCTGGTGGATATTGGGCAGATGACTTACATGGCTCTCAGCTCAAGTTTAATTTGTAAAGTGGCTATGTAGTGTCTATAGCACACAGTCGCTGTGGTGGTGAACGAAAGCTAATGGGTGTGAAACAGCCCCAGATGAAGCCTGTGGTGGTCAGCCCAGTATACTACGTAACTATTTCCCAGGGAGGTTAGGCAGCTGTTTAGCAGAGAGGAGAGGAGGGTTTGAAATTTCAGAGGAACAGTCTAGAAGACCAGCTTACTAGACTGCAGGTATTAGACAAGAATCCCACTCGTGGAGTTTTCTCTAAAGACAGTTGCCAGCTTTATTGGCAAGGAGCACATATTTGGATACAGTACTGGCTTTTGGTATGGAGGACAATAAATTCTAAGTAGGGCAAATGCAAAAGCCTGGGGTGATTTAGAGGTCACAGAGTGAAAGGGGATTAACCTGCTAGAAAGCAATTAAGTAATCCTCCAATTGCAAGGAACACTGTGGTGCTAATAATGAACTTCCTTGAGCAAAGTGGGAATGCTGTTACATTATATGAACTCTCTGGAGAGGAAGGCATACCGTCACAGTGGTACACAACTTCATCTGTGGGATCCTTCTGAGTGGCATTGCATCTTAATATCTGAGAGCCATAATGGTGGTCCAGAATGCCACCTTGAGGGTTTTAGTGGCCACCCTCTCTTTCCTCCAAATCAAACCAGCGTTATGTTCCTCAGATGCCTAGTTTCCAATCAAGTCTGTGTTACTTGGCCGAGTCCTGCTGAGCTACAGTTTCTTTGCCAGGATAGTTTATCAGGCTAGTTATGAAGAAATATGAAACCGTGGAGTTCTTAAGCCCCAAGTAGGGGAAGGGTGGATCCCTTTTAATTGCTCTGTGACCTTGATCAGTTGTTCAGACTCCAAGACATTTTGCTCAGAGGCTTGGCCCTGCTCCAGGCCAGCTGACCTCTGATCAGGCTTTGCCCTCCCTGAAGATAACGTTGGCACCCTTTTCCCTGCCAGTGGCTGCTGGTGCAGGCTCAGTAGTACTTTTCACAGTCATCTCCAGCCTTCTCCTTAGTTTCTAGAGATTCCCTTGGTATTCTGTTAGGATTTGTGGACACTTTGCATGGGGAAGAGAGTATAGATTGTGGTGGTCATCAAGGTCACACAGCCATTATTTGAAGTACCTTTCTACGTTGTTTCCACTTCTAAACTTGATGGGCAAAAGGTAAGTAGGTTGAGCTCCTAGTGGTTGCTCTATGGTGTGATTTGTGCATTCATTTGAGATAAAGAGATCCAGAGACCTCATTGCATTTGATTAGATGTGTGTTTTTAAGCCACGTGTATAGATAACAGTGTGGAAAAGATTGTAAGGGGAGTATTCCAGCTGTTAATTAAAAGATACTTTTCTCCCGTTGCTATAGGCCAGGTCTGCATGTGGGCTGACATTGTTAGGAGATGCTGAGTCCGTCCTCTTAGGGCTCTTGCAGACAGAACACGTGCCATGAGGTGGGTAATTTTCTAAATGTGGAGTCAGATAGGCACACCTAGGAGCACATGTGCCAGGCCAGTGCCCAAGAGTTGTCATTGAAGAGGGGAGGAACGCTGAGGGAAAGACAGGCCACGCTGCCAGAAGATCATTACTTTCTCCCTCCTTCTTTCTTAACAAAGACTTTCATGGCTGAAGGTTTCCAACTGTCACATGGCATTCTCCTGAGGCACATTCCCAAGTTCCAGAAATTGTAACTGTTGAATTCATTTTGCATTTTCACACCCCCCAAGATTCTTTTCACCCGTCTACTTACTTTCCTACTTTGGAAAGCAGATAGGAAATAAACTGCCTTTGCTCTTACCTAAGTAAAGTGACAGTGGGATTTTATAGTTAGGAGCTGTTTTTGTCAGTGAAGCCACTCATTAGCTGAATGATATTGCCTTAATTGTGTGTGGCTTATGGTACATTACTTTCTTGTATATGTTACCTCACAGTCTTCAGGGTCATCACAATTGTTGTGGCTGAAGACATGCTCATTGTACAGATAAGTAAACTGAGTTCATGACAAGTAAGCACATGACTGTCGAGCTGACACGTCACCCTAGATTTTTGGATTCCCTGTAGAGTTCCTGTCAATGATTGGCATCTTTGTTGTGGACATGCACATATAAAGGAAGGGCAATCCTGGTGGGGGGGCATCATTGCACAGGCAGTTCCTTATCTCATAAGGAATAGGCGTTCCCTTTGTATTTGGCTTTTGGCCTGGATGGCTGTTCCCCAGGCCCTGTGGCATGTGCCCATGGTGGTGCCAGACGTGACTTTAACTGAATGTTTTAAAATTTTATTGTAATTTTCGTTACGTTTCCTTTAGGAGAGTTAATTGATATAATAGAGATAAATCATGTAAGTCATGAATGGGAATCACTGTAAAGAAAGTAGGAGCACCTGGAGTATCTGGATATGGCACAATATCTTAGGGCCCATGGAAATGGATGAAGCTTGGGAAATCCTGTTGTAAATTCTTCTTCCCTGGTAAAATGTAAAGGCCGAACTGGGAGACACAGAGAGAGATTGCCGTTTAGAGTGTTACAGTAGTCCCACAGTGTTTGAAAGCACTTGCTGTTAATGTGTGTGGGTGCATGAGTGTGCAGGATGAGTGTAGACGTCTGCTCTGTGTGGGTCACAGTGCCTAGAACAGTGCTTGGGACATGCATAGTTGGATTAATGAACCAAGGCAATTGTTGCAACTACTTTCTTCTACGGCCCTCTAGTTTCAATGTATGGAGCTTTCCCTTCCTCTAACTTAGGAAGTAGTAATTAACTCTGCGTCTGTGCCCCTCCCCATCCCTACCTGTTCACTTTGAAGTTTTGTTTTGTAATTTAATACGATAGTAGTGGCTGATTGCTTTTCATTCTGTTTGTGCCTTTTGAAGACCATCCATGAAAATACCAACTCAGTGGACCAGCCCAGGGTTTCCTGGGCGAAGCTACAGAACTTGACCCCCAGCTCAGTGACAATGTGCAGGGAATCCCTTTAGGGTCTTTCCAAAATAGAGCTGAGCTATGTTTAGCTTGGTAAGATAAAGAACTGATCGGGGAGGGAAGATAATGGGAAGGAGGGCTTGTATGTGTACATGATTCATGGAAAAGAATCCAATTTTATAGAAACCACAGCCTAAATTAGAGAAAGCAAGCTTTTGGATTAAAATGATTTCTGTTGTGGTTGTAGCATACCACAGTTTGATTTTTGTCCAGATGAAAACATTTGGTTTTCACTTCAGTAAATATTGTGGAGACATTGCCAGCTAATTCTGAAAAGTAATGAAATACGGCTTTGGCAAAGCGCAGATGCGTTCTGTACTCCCGACTCCACTTATCTGATCCAAGTTCAGATTTTTTTTCACATTTGCTAATGCACTTGAATAATCAGGAGAGAAAATCTGCCTGTAATTGTAATAGAAAACTTTATATACTAAATATACTTTTATAATTTATTGGATATAAAATCCCCCCTCTAACTCCCCCCAAAATAGCCTACACCATCCTTAACCCTCTTAAAACATTCACCTTTCATTGATTGCTTGTCTAAAACTACAGTGTGTACAAGAGACGTGTGATGTAATTCTATGGGATAAGTCAGCAGCTGTCACGTGTTAATGAACTGCATGAATGGGACTGGTACCTCAACAGGGAGAGGCCACCCTGAGGACACCAGGGCGTGACTCAAAATGAGTCAGCTTAGCCCTCTTGGAGACCCTGTTTGTACCACCTTTGCCGGTGTTCTGCAGCAGGTGGTGGTGAGCCGTGCTGTGGAAGAGAGGGTCTTTTGAGGAAGCATTTTCAAGTTGTGAATCCCCTGTCTCCCAGCTCACCCTCCCTGTTAGTTCCTCCCTGGAGCTCCCTCCCCATTTTCCTGAATGCTTGGACCCACAATGAGCTTCTCAAAAGTGTGCTTCATCTGACTTTTGGAGGAAAGCCTTCCCCTAATAAATTTTCTAGAGATGAAGAAGCTTACCTCTTCTGTGCCAGGATCTCTAAGTTGCAAACTATTTTTAATGAAAAATTTTTAAAAAATACAGTCTTCCAGTTTCAAATACTAGATGTTGGTTTAACTTTCTGTTGACTCAGCATCAATATGATTATGTAATATATGCATTCACCCGTTTTATACTGAAGAATATAGGATAGTTTTCTCTCGTGATAAATAACCAAGACTGCTGTGTGCTTTTATGGCTTTAAAATATCCTTTCCTTCATGTTTTTTTTCTGTCTAGCAGATTCTTCCTCCTCTAAACTTAAGTGTAAATGCGATAATCGAGCTTGTATCTAGACTAAGCAGAAATAAATACAGTCTACATCAATGTCGATGTACTAGTTTTGGTTTCTCAGGTGCTTTATGTCTTCTTTTATGTATTTGAGGGTGTTGTATAGTGATTTTCTAGGTATTAGCATATAACAGTCAGTGTTTCCCTATCATGTTGGGTATCTTTACTTTGGCATGAAATATAAGATGATCTTACTGGTTTTGTCTTAATGAGATGGAAAGAAGCTTCTTTTGCTTCAGTTTTGCCATTGCTGTGGTTTTCCTGGTCTGTAATGCTAGCTTGGCCTCTCCATTACTTTGCAAACGGACATGCCAGCAAGGTCTTAGAGGATTTACAATAGTGACAGCGTAACAGAGATTTGGCGTAAATGGCATTAGACTCTGTTGGATTTAGTCTTTTTTATTTGCTTCAGTTTGACTGGCAGGTTTCTGAGTGTACAGGTGTGAGGGTTCCCAGTAAAATTCTGGAGGTCAGTTCCTCCTGGGGGAGAAGCTAATAGTTCATGAGACCACTCCTGGCGGGCAGGTTCTGGATTGGCAGTGGCTTCCTGAACAAGACCTGAAAGGGCAGTGAGGCCATACCCAGGGAGAGATGGGTTCTCCTAGTGAGTGGCATCTGCCGGATGAGAGAATTGCTGCAAGGCTGATATTTGAACTAAGGGCATCTTCTTGCCTCCGTTAGTAGTTAACTGACCTCTCCATCTGAGATTCATTATTGTTGAGCATTGATCCTTTCCCCCCTCCCAGAAGTTTTCTTTCCCTTTATCATGCCAGCTTCTCCAATCCCCATCTGGTTTGAGACCCTTCAGAACCATTTTTTCTTTGTTGATGCTTTATCTTTAGGTCCAGACCAACATGAATCCAAATCACCTTTTAGTGTGAAAGCACTTTCCTTTTATCCTCCATGCTTCCGTACTTAGAAGAAATCGTGTCCTTTTCCACCTCTGATGCAGAGTCGGTTACATTGGAAGGACTTTGTATTATTATAAGTTTTGGTTTGAGAGTGAGTCCTTCAGAAACACCTTGCCTCCCCCCATTCCTTATTGGTCTTCTATTTCCTATCTTACACTAGCCTCTGACTTTCGTTTAGAATACCTAGCAGGTTACGTCTATTTATATTTGCTGAGAAAGTACTTAAACTTGTGTTTTTATTGAAGAAATGATCCTATACACTTTCTTTGGATGTTAGTGAAACTTGGATCCTGAAGCTGTTAGACGTTTTCTCCATTTGCGTTCTTTGGAACATGAACTTAATGTTCACCCCATTTTCTCAAAATCTCGTGTAAAGATTGTGATTGTTGCTTCATGCTGCTTATCCAAGGTTTGAGTTTCAAAAAATCCTCAACAGATTCTCTTAGTGGAAGTTCATTCTTTGTTTCTTTCTCATGTGTTCCACATAGATTTTACCAGTTTCTCTTTGAAACAGAATATATTTATCAATCTTAACTCTCCCCTATTTTCACGTTACTCCCGAATGGCCTCAGTTGCAGAGTTTGTTGCATTTTCTGCTGAGGGGAGAAAGGAAGGGCGAGGGTAGTAGCCTACTTCCTGAAACGCCCTCTGGTCCTTCCCTTGGCGCTTTACTGCTTCCCTCCAATAGATGGCAGAGCCGGCTGCGGAAGTTACCACAGGCTCTACGCAGAAACCGGCCTTTTTTAATACCAGTGCAGCTTGATTTTAACTGCAAGTCAGCGTGTCCAGGGTGTAGGGAGGCTCTTCTTTAGAGGAATTTGACATGTATATTTTGACTTGGAAGGAACTTGAAGAGATTGTTCAACCTATATGTTTTCATTTTATTGAAGAGGGAAATTTTAATGGCTGAGTCTGCACTTGCGAAGGTTTTACGTTCCCTGCTGTGTCTGTCTGACAACATGTGACCTATCACCTTAAGTTGTGTTACATGCTAGAATGAGTTGGAGCCTATGGTAAAATAAATTTCTGTGTTTTTTTTCCTCACAGTCTCTTTTGAGTGTTGAAATAGTTTCTCCTGCTTTTTCTGCAGTACCTAGAAAGTTAGATTTGGGGAAGAAGGAACCAAACAGTATTGGTATTTTCCCTGTGAATGGTGAGTCCTGATTGACAACCTCTGACTAGGAAGCTAGTAAGGGTGATGTCTCCTCTTTCCCTAGTCAGTCTTGCACTAATTGTAAAACCTCTTGAAACAAGAGTAAATGCGTTGCTCCAGTGGAAATATGGCTAGATATTTCCTTCTTTTATTTCATCTTTAACTCCTATTTGATTAAATGATTTTCCCCCAAAGTCTGTGTCAGGTTTAAGAATCTTTCTTCTGTTGAAAACCTGCTTCTAATTGGAAATGATCAAAGGGGAGAAAACAAAACAAAGGAAATGGCTATTGTCAAACTATATCCACCTCTGCTTTCCACTAAGAGTCTTTTTGCCACATACATCCCTTTTTGGATCCCTTCATCTCCACCTACTGGTGTTACCCACATAACTTTTTACCGTGTTGGCTATTGGTAGGTCATGACTGTGACAGAAGGAAGGGGACTGGAGGTTATCTGTTTTGTCTTTGCATTTCTGTGCGATGGGATTTGGTTTGCCACTTCAGCTCCCTATTGCTGCTCATTCATTTCCATTTCCTTGTTAGAGCTCATAGCCCCGAAATTAGACAGGAATGGTTTTAACCATTGTGTTTGAAGTTTGAGATCTGTATTTGGGAAGGAGACTAAACTGGTTGCTTGTATCTTTATTGATGTTACCTGGAATGTTAGCAGATTCACAGGAAAGTGAGCAAGAGAAGTAAAGAATTTCACATTTATTAGTTCTGCTGCTGCTTTGTAGTTAGCTCTCCGAAAAATACTGAAGGAGAAAGAAGATTGAAGTTGCTGCTGGAAATTAATTTGGGGGATTTTCTTTGTCCCACATAATACACCAATGAGTTCACTGATCTACTTCTAAATTGTTGTTATTTGATAAGGAAGAATTGTGTGGTCTGTCTTTATAATATTGAACTTATCTTCTGGTGTTATTGCTTCTAAGATCAGCTCAGAAATGAAAACATTTGGGGATGAGGAGGTTAAGGTATAAAGGAATAAGGAATGTGGGTTCTTCTATGAGGAGTTTTTTTTTCTTTTTAATCAGCACTTTAGATAGTGCTGTGTAGGAATTTATTTTAATAATTTTACATGCTATTAACCTGATCATAATATCGAAGTAACTTCCAAATATATTACGATTTTTGGGACTCTGTGTCTGTCATTCACCCCATATGAGTACAAGACAGTACCTTACATTAGGAAATAATCTTTCTTACTCAACACTGTGGGTAGATGTTTTTTATTTTATTGATTTTTCTTGTTCAATTCAATCCTTGGTAGTTTTTATTTTCCCTCCTCACAAGAACTATTCAGATGAGATTTTGTAAATTGTGGTTTGTTATGTTTGGTGAATAGCAGCATCCCCCTGCTGGGGTGTTTTGCTCGAAATCTGTTAAGGACACAGATGGAGTTATATTTCCTGGGGGATATTTGAAAAATAAATTAAAAATGGCAATAGAGATAAATAGCTTTGTTTCATCTGCTTAGTCATGAGGATTTGGGTTCGTAACTCAATAAATGCCTTCGTTTTTAGTTCTCCTCCTGGAAGGGGTGAGGATCAAGGTCTGTGTTTATGAGCCTTTTTCTTAAACCCACCAGGTTCTCCTGCGCTGCCCAACAGCATGGTATATTTCGGAAGCTCTCAGGATGAGGAGGACGTCGAGGAGGAAGATGATGAGACGGAAGACGTCAAAACAGCCACCAACAATGCTTCATCTTCATGCCAGTCAACCCCCAGGAAAGGAAAAACCCACAAGCATGTTCACAATGGGCATGGTAGGTCTAATGTTGAATTTGGGCCAAAAATTATAAAATCCAAAGCTTTAGGTAGAGAGCTAGAATAGATCATCTGTTGAGAAGATGATGAAGATGAACACTTCATAGCTGGTTAGTGGCAAAGGAAGTTCTGTATACTCTCTAAGTGCCAGACATGTTTAAGGGCAAAGAGATTAGAGTAACACAGTATGTTCTAGACAAATTGATTGTTAAGATGAGTATAGATATTGTTATGTTTTGGAGATGATAAAGTTCATAAGAGCTGCAGATCGTAGAATCGGAAGAGGAAGAGATCACATCTAAATAGGGATGGTCAAGAAGATTTTGTGTAGAAACTTGTTATCACCTTGTTTTTGTGATTTTAACACATGTAGAAAGAACCATTATTCAGCATGTGAAATAAAGTAAATGTGTGTATATTATGAACCAGACCAATTTTTCCTCGAGTGCTATGGTGTCGAGGAAGAGGAGAAGGACAAAAGGTTGGGTATCAGAGAGAAAACTATTTAAATAAGTTGAGTGTGGAAAGTGCCCAGTGGCTTTTCAACAGGGAAGTGATTTAATTAGAGTTGTGTTCTGAAAAGATTAAGCTGGCATCGATTATGAGGATTACATAAAGGAAAATGATTTGAAGAAGAGGAAACACATTCAAAAGCTGTAATTACAGGCAATTACCTGGCTGTAGGTAACAAGGGACTAGAAGTTGGTTATGGCAATATAAAGAGGAGGCTATAAGTTCAAAAATGAGGACGTAGATACAGAAATTTTGCAGGGGTAGTTTTGATAGGACTTGATAACTAATTGGATTAGCATGGGATGGGGAAAGGAAGTAAGAGGAAAGAAAAGGAGAGTGAAGCAGAGCGAATGTGGTAGGGAGATATTATGGCTGTTTTCTAGTAAGCTCCTATAGGTTCTCTGCTAGACAACATATTTCATATAGGGCTCAGAGAGACCCTATGAGGTAGAGAGTCCCCATCTACAAAAGGCAGAAAATCAGTGTTGTTGATATGTGATTGAGGCAAAGGAAAGTTACTCATTTTTTTTCACCCCACGGCTATGCACTGAGCTACCACTTGTCTTTCTGGATTCCATGGGAAATAGAGGCTCAGGGCAAGCATAGCTTAGACACTGTGGGAATCTGGGTCCAGCTTTTGTTACTGTTGGGCGTTTCTGCCTTGTCGATTTAGTGGTTGCTCATGTCTCCTGCTTCTTGCTTATGGCTGTTGCCGTGGCATATAGACGTGGTAAAGGTGTGACCGTCTTTTGAGGACTTAGGGTTTACTTTGGGAGATGGACTTAACACTCCCAGTGTATAATTAAAAATGGTGACTTAATTTTAACCCTTCAAGAGAGTTTTTTTTACCTGGAGTTGTGGTTATCAGGAATCTTGATAATTGAAAGAGAGCTGCATATATGAGTTGGAATACAGGTTCGGGTGTCAAGATGAACTTTTTAGGGAAGTAATGAATGGTGAAATTCCACATAAACTGTGGAATGTGGAATGTTGTCTAGTTGTGGGGGTGGTGGCACACTGACTCACCAGTGTGGGACGTGTCCTTTCGGGTGACTGGGAGCCACAGGATAGTGCTGATGAGATGTTCTGCTAGGCAGGAAGAAGAATTCAAATGTAGAGAATAGGGAACTGTTGATGATTTTAGATGTGGAAGTAAGATGACATAGATCAAGTGCAGAATGATTCTTCCCACAACACAGTTTAGTCTGGAATGAAAGATGATGAGAGTCCAAGGATTCCAGCCGGAAACTGGCTGATGCGAGGTTGAACTTAAGGACATACAGTGGTTTGATGAGTTCAAGAGACCCTTTGAAGCAAAAATGATCAGCTTTTCACAGCTGCCTAGAGAGGCAGGGTTGAAGGGAATAGAAAGGGAATTAGGAAGGGAGTTGATGTGTAGGGGTAGTAAAGAAGTTTATCATCTGCTAGGTTTGTGGTGATGGCGAAGGACAGGAGAAATACAGAGAATAGACTGGGAATTGATCATCACCGAGCTGCTGCTGATTGAAGCGGACAGAATGGGTGAGCTTTCTGAGATAGAGTGAAGCAAGGAAGCAGACTTTTAGGGATTTTTCAAAAAAGTTCTTTAGAGGGTTTAATTTTCTAGTTTTACTTTTGTTTCTATATGAATCAAGAGAGATAAATACGAGCAAAATAGGAAGTTAGGCTCGTATCTCTTAGTCTTTGTCCATGATAGACATATGTTTCATCAGTACAGTATCAGAATGGTTCCTTGAGATGTTAATTTTCATTCTCTTACTGTGATTGGTAGGTGAATTCCTCAGTCATGTCAATCAGGTGAGTTAATTCCATGTGTACCTGTGCAGTTTTGGTGGCTTCTCCAAAACCTTTCTTTTTCCTGCTTATTTGAGCTTGTTGGTTCACTAGATAATTTTCTCATAGATTCTCCTTCCAGAGTCAACAATTGTCATCTTTCATGTGTGTGGATCTTATTATCTTGAATTCTCTTTTTCCATGAGCTCCAAAGGTGATGATGTGAAGGGGCCATGAGTATCTGGCAGCACATGACAGGGAGTTATGTGAAGCGGGTGGAATGAGGGTGATGGAATTAGCTGTGTTCTCTCATCTAAGGCAAGAGGATAACAATTTTGCATTGACCATTCTTGTCATTAGAAGTCCAGGAAGGTGTGTCTGTATCTACAGATACATATATTTACACATGCATGAACACAGAGGTAAACTTCTAATTTTTGAAAAATGTTATGAGATTTTTACTATTTTAAATAGTACTGTGTGAGTGAAAAAATAGCATGGCAATTAAGAAGGTTTTGAAAGTTTCACTTGCAGGATTTGCTTCTTATTTCAAATATTGTCAGAAATACCCTTGGGTCCTTTTGTGTACTGATGAATTTTTATGTCTCTTCACTTGGGGCGGCTTAGGATGGTGTGTGTCTTTTGTTCTAGTTTGCAAGGACTAGATGGGGGGAGTCTGAAGTGTGAGAACCCACAGGCCTCCTCTTACTGCCTTTTCTGACTTTGCTCTTCTACTCTCTCTTCTCTTTCTCATTTTCCTCACTCTTACTCCCTGATTCTGGTGTCCTCTCTTGTGCCTCTGGAGAGATACAGCGTAAGATAGAGGAACAATGGGGACCATCCCCAAGCCAGCTGGGCTTCATCAGTACACTAACTCCACTCATAGTTACCAACATTTCTGTGCTTTCATTAGTGAGTCTTGTAGAGAGCAAAGTTTCAAGGCCCTTTTGAAGTCCTTATCTGCTAATTCTAGTAACTCTCTTATCTGCCGATCTACTTCTAATGACTGTGTTTTCTTGATTATGAGTCCTAGTTATGTCTTGTATTCTTTTTTAAAAATTTATATTCAGATATTGTGAATTGTATTGTGTGCTGTATTCTACAGTATAATTTTTTGTTTCTCAGGGAGTGAAGCTCTTTCCTTTTTTGGCAGGTGAGACGAAGAGCTGACCACTCTGATTTCCCCTAGAGTGTTTGCCTTATATATTTACTTACATTGAGTTCATCTGTAGTTAACTCAGCTCCCAAACCCCAAGCCTCTGCCTTTTTGATCATGTCAGTATTTGAGCTGGAAAGGAGTTGGCAGCACTTCCAAAGTTTGCTGTTGGATTCAGCTCCAGTAGAGTCCCAGAACCCATCATAGTGAGAACCCATGGGGCTATGCACACACCTAAACTTTGGGGGATGGCTGAGAGGGAGATTACTGCAGGCCAAAGTGATCTGTCCTCATGTTTGAGTGTCTTCCAGACTCCAGTATGCAATACCATACTGTTGTCTAATGCCCCAGCTCATCCGTGCATGGTCTCTCAGTCGACAAGTGTGCCCATTGCCACACCAGGGCCTGGCCCCTGTGGGCATTTCCCTCTGGAATTCAGTTCATCTGCTCTTCAGTAGCCCTGTAGGAAAGTATGAATTTGTATTTTGTCTAAGGTTTTCTTGTTGTTGCCATGGGCATGAAGACCTTTCACATCCTTTTATATCCTAAACAAACACCATAGTCAGTAAAGTCTTTCCACTTTGGGATCTTCAAAAGATCAAACAAGTCAAATAGAAGCACCAAACCAACTTCACTAGAAAAGCAAAATTAGTTTGTGCATTTTTAATGCCTGTAAGTATTGGAGAAGATATTGTGTTTGCGTGCCCCTGAAGTTACTGTAGTTCTGGAGGATTTGGAAGGGAGCTTTGGGAATTATTTTATTGGGGAAAAGCACTAAAATATATTTGTAGACTCTTTGAGGGTAAGATATTGCCATATTAACCACTTATGGAATTTTATGGAGTTAACTTTTGTTTCTAACATAAAATAAGTTTAACTTCTGTGCGTGTGAAAAATCAGTGTAAGACCCCATGCTAGTTTAAGTGCTTTGGAATATAATCCGGATGAACAAGGCATATATGCTCTTCCTTAAAGGAGCTTAGGGTATGGGATGCCACCTGGCAAACCCATCAGAACTGCCCTAAGACATTCAGGCTCCAGCCACGTGTTGTCCTGATCACACAGGTTTTAATGTCTGGTTCATGGACACTACCCGTCCGTCCCGTCCCCCCCCGCCCCTGTCACTTTGTGTTTCTCACATAGTCACTTCCTGTCACTTCCGATGTGTCCCCCTGTTGTGTCACGCCATTTGTCTATATGACTTTTATAAGCCTTCTCTCATACTCAGGTACAAACATTCTCCATAAAAAGGAGCTGTCGGGTATAAGCAGCTGAGGTACTCTCAAGTGTTTGGGCTCTATTAAAAATGGTGTTTTGTGGTTTTTGTGTGTCTTCATGGGTTTTTGAGTTTGTTTTCACTTTCTGGCATGTGAATACCAAATCTTTTATAAGATCCTATGAAAAGAAAGTATGCCCCGACTTTTAGTGCTAGGGAGTCTTCTAATGCAAAGGTTACCATGTTGGTTCTTTCTCTCTTTGCCTCTTTGTCTTCCTTTCTGAAGGAAAGGACTTTTCTTGACAAAGGTGTACTGTGATCACACTTGTATTTTGGAAAGA